GGCATGGGCCCCTGTTTGCCACGAGGGAATTAATTGCCCCCATCCGGTTTACGTGCACTACTTCTTTGTAGTCCGACGTTTCGCACCCCCCCCCAACACCGCCCTGCTCCCCCTTCTGCCTGAGATTCGTAGAGGAAAACGGACGGTCAGATGTATTTCTAAGCTTTATTCTCAATAAATATGAACACTGCCATGAAAAGAAGTCCATAACGTATCAATGAGATGAACACTGGAGGTACTAGGAGGCTTAATTTGGAGTTAATAAGTTATGCGAGCACCTATTCACATCTAAAATATGCATGCGTTCCCTCCTATGCACCGGCGAGTTCGTATACTGGAAGCACGCACTTATGTTGTGCGAGAGATGCTGAATGTCAGCGGGCACTGCACGTTAATGAGTATTAATATCCGTTGGAGATGGCGATATCAATCATAGGTGCTATCAAAATCTCTAAAGTATATTTGGAGTTTTCTCCCGGTTCTCCGGTTTTTACCTCCACATTTAGAATCGATGTGCGTTTGGAGTATTTGTTTGCTATAAATTTCCACATGATAAGCCACTTCGTTAAGCTACACTGTGTAACACATTTTTTTTCCTGGATAGGAAGTGTTATTTCCTAATTGCGTATGCCTCAAAAGTACAGAAAATTGCTATTATTGCCCACAAACTTTGCTTTTGTGACCAGGACAATGATATTTTGAAATGTATCTATTTTCAATGAGAAAACGGGCGAATCTGTGTCTTTTCGTTCACATAAAGTCAGAAAAAATATTTGCCAAAATTAACATGTATTTATACTACAGTAATGATGAAAATGGAGAGTGCTGTTACTACTCTGGGCCAAAGTTTGAGTGAGATATGGCCCCATGGAAATTCATAGACTTACATAGAGACCCATATGCATACACAAAGACGATTTGACTCACAGAGAGATCGATATACAAACATAGACACCCATAGACTCACGTGCGGTACTATACTATGTGGTTTTGTAGTTTGAGATTGGTGACCCTCCAGTCGCACTGTTCTTGATTATCCATTGGTGTCGGTGGAGATGCCGTTGCCTCATCTGCCGTGCGATGTTCTGATGCGCTTTCAACGCAGACCCCGTGAGTGTTCCGATGAAATGCATGACACAGTCCGCAACATAGGAGACACGGATGCGAATGGCCCCCTTGTGTAGGGCTCATCGGCGAGGCTTAGCCAGACGCAGGGTCTGCACGCATGGGTGCACAGCTCGCGATAAGAGCAGGCCCTTATAATTACACTTTTTGGGACCACGTCGGCCACTGCGCTCTGAACTCGGCGTGAACTCTCGTTTATCATCTCACGTGTGTCACCCGCGGGACGAAGCTGATACTACAACCACACGCATCAGCTACATGTGCATGCATGTATGTGTGTACTGTATAGACCGATCGGATTTTTTTAAACTATACACTTGATTTTTTTTACCACGCAAATGCCCACTGAGCTATTAACCCTTTTCAGCGGCGACCTGGCTAAACACGATAGCGCGTAGAAGTGGCTTGTGTTCATACGTTGGAATTTATAGTCGCAACCAAATAATCTAAACGCGTGTTTGTTTCTAAATGTGTGGGGGGGGGGCAAAACAGGAGGAGCCCGAAAAAAATCTACGCGACCACCACGAGGAAGAGAGCGAGAGAGAGAGAGAGAAACACGCGAATTGAAAATAAACAACAATAGGAAATGTCAGGGAGAAGACGAGTGTCATATGTGGATGCTGCAAACGAATTTGTAATGATGGTGGACACTGCCGCAAACAATGGCACAACAAACTTGATTTGGAGCTTTCGTGACTGAATGAATTCCTCTTTGGTTCTTTCGGTAAAGTCACGTAGAAAGAAAATAAATTAAACGGAACAACAGTTGAAACGACAGGCGAAGAGACGCACAATCGGAATCACACCGATACGCGGAAAGGTGAACCCACGAAACGGGGAACTTTACACGCATTGGGCATTTCACGTGGACTGTTCAGAAAAAAAAGTGGCCCCGTGTGTCGCTAGAATAGGCGATGGACGACACTGACGAGGGGAATGACAGCCACATGGAGGCCGAGAGCACGTCAACGGCGGAGATGGAGCGATGAAGATCAGTTCAAGTGTCATGTTTGTGCGCGCGTGTTAGCATGTACTGTATATGTGTGTGTGTGTTTTATATATGGGGAGCGGTAGTGTAGCGGTTAGCGTGCTGCGCTAGGAGTCTGGCGACCCAAGTTCGAATTCCCACTCACGACCAACAGTGACGATTATCTGAACCGGTCCTGGACCTCCCTTGGGTTGACTCAGCCTCAAATGAATATCTGGTGCGGTGCTTCAAAACATCGCTACAAGAGACACAAAGGCGATGGGGCGTGGTGTTGGCCACCCATTTTCTCGTGTGCCGTTCCGGCCTTCATAGGTGTTCGCTAACAGCACTTGCCCCAACATTCTGTTAAGGCTTACAGGGGGATCTTTGTATTTTATGGTTAGCGCACGTCGCTACGAACCCGGCGATCCGAGTTCGATTCCCGCTCACCATCCAATACCAGCGGCGAATATCTGAACCTGTCCTGGTCGACTCAGCCTCAAACGAGTGCCCGGTGCAATGTGTCAAGATCAGTACTGCGGGAACAAAGGCGGGGGTTGGGTTGTTGGTGTGCCGTGCCGTCATCCATTGGTACTTACGAACAACACTTGCCCCGAACAGTCTGTTACAGGCTGTACGGGGCCTCTTTGTCAGTGTACTTGTGATGAGATGGAGCGGTGAGATGAATTGTAGTGGCATCGCAGACCCGTGATCGACCATGATTCATGATGATGAAAAAGAGCTTTAGAGCTCATCGGATTCCTCCAGTATAAATAAATATTCTGATTCAGACATTATTATCATTATATATTGTATCGTCTGCCGTTGTGGACTCTATAAAAAAAATCGGCACGACCGTTTTTTTGCATTTGGAAAATATTTTAACTTTGTTATTTTATTTGTAATCGATGATAGGTGCAGCCCTGCAATTGCGTCTTACACACCGCTGCTTGCGGAAGAGCCCCGACTAAAGGGTATTTGGTCTACTCTTCCATTCTGCCCAGTCATTTTGAAATAGTGGGGAGTATCCACATTTTACCCCACCGTCCGCAACCTGCCGATCAACTACATGTGGTGGTACACATTTATACTGCTGGGGGAGATGTGGGGAAAATTCGAAATGTGCCGGGTTGTTTTAACTGCCGAGCCGAGAGATCGAATTGATCCGACGATCACTCGATGGCAAGTCCAGTGGGATACTCATCGTGGACTCTATTGTCAAAGCGTGTTTTTGTTTTCATCGGTAGTCTTAATTATTTTAATTATCTATTGCAAAGGAAAGTTGCGTTCATGGACTCTAGCTCAGTTACTAAAATAACGTTTTGATTAATTATAGCGCAGAGATAGAGAACATAGTGTAATTTAAATAAAGTAATACTTTATTTAAAATAGTGTATCTCTGCTGTTACGCTGCGCTTTGCATGAGCCATGTTCTGCCTTGTAACATATACATTGAGTCGCAATGGACACTCATTTTCTTTAAATAAAATGCATCTCATCATATATACCCCGCAGGGTTTGGCGACGACTGGTAAGCTGTTCGCGCACTGCGCTATGAGCCCGACCACCTGAGTTCGATTCCCGAGCCACGGCTGTCACCGTGGCTCCGAACTCAACCCTGGCCCGCACTTGCCTCGCGTGGTGAAGTATGGTCAAACAACCCGCATAACCGACCCGGTCCTTGAGAGGATCTTCATTCAACATAAAGACTTACAAAAGGATATGGGCGATGATTATTACTGTGAACTTTTACACGCACACAAATATTATTAGAGTCATAACTTTGTTACAATTAGATTATATGAGCATCTTTTTTTTATTCAAAGCAACTATGCGTAGTTGAACACGTATTGGAACTGCGTGGCTAGCTCGTATTATAACTTATTTTAATCTGGATAGAGCGGATGATGATAATGATGATGTACATCACTGAGAATATACAAAAGCGCCCTTAGGGCTCACCACTGTCAAGCAGCGGCCGTTGATTCAAGTTTGTTTAAAGATGGACTGGTGTGTTAAATGGTTCTCTCTGATTTACACAGGCAGGTTATTCGCCGTTGCTATGTGTGTGTGTCATTAGCTACAGGATATATACTATATATATAACTTACACATACGTAGAGTGTAAAGGCATTTGTCGTTTTTATGATGTGACGAATGAGAGCAGAGCTCTGAGTGAGCGCGGCGTCACACACTCACGTACACACACAAAGACAAAGTTACCCGCGTAGTCTTACCAAACTGTTGGGCAAGTGCTGTTAGCGAGCACCTATTAAAATACCTATTTCGGCTGGTACGGCACACGAGGGGTGGGTCGCCAGCACCACGCCCGTCCGCCTTTGTCTCCCCAAGTTTACACACCGCACCAGATACTCATTTGAGGCCGAGTCGACCTAGGGGAGGCCCAGGGACGATTCAGATAATCGTCGCCGGTGTTGGCCGTGAGCGGGAATCGAACTCGGGTCGCCGAGTTTGTAGCGCGGCGTAGCGCTAACCGTTGTGCTACCGCTCCCCATACACAAAGACAAAGATCCCCCGTACGGACTTAACATGCTGTTGGGGCAAGTGCTGTTAGCGAGCACCTATGAAGGCCAAAACGGCAAACGAGGGGGTGGGTGGCCAGCACCACGCCCAGCCGCTTTGGTCTGCCTCGGGGCAATGTTTTACACACCAGGCACTAATTTGAGGCTGAGTCGACCTCGGGGAGGCCCAGGACCGGTTCAAATAATCATCACTAATGTTGTCCCTGAGCAGGAATCGAACCCGGGTGGCCAGGTTCGTAGCGCAGCGCGCTAACCGCTACACCACCGCTCCTCCCCCCACACACATTCATACACACACACGCGCACTCACCTCCCTCCCGCTCCCCTCTCCGCACCCCTCGCCTCTTTAAGGGCCCGCCGTGTGGGCAGTTGAGCGGCACACGCGAAAGTCTCCGGCGACACACGCAGACCGCTCTCTCACGTCTCAATAGCCTCGCTCTGCTTTCATCACAGCCATCGTCAGAGCGTCGTCAGCCTTTTGCTCCATCCATGTAGCCGCCGTTCCTACAAACGCGTCTTACAGAGCCCGATAGCAGCAACGTTTTAGTCCCGTTACTTTTTGTTGAAGTTGTTGTTGTTGTACGTTATACACGAGTTCTATACCGCTCGCTTGTACAGCCACCAAGGCGCGAACGTGGAGTCGCCACCGACTCCTCGTGCGCTCTAAAACTCTGCGTTACGCAAGCGAAGAGAACACTTGCACACTTTCTGACACATCGGCAACGCAGCGATACAACTCGCGGACACGCACAGACGCGCACATCAAACCAAAAGGGATCTCCATACACGAAGACGCACGCAAATACCAAGACGCACCGAGACACGCACGCGCACGTGCGTGCGCGCGCTGTATCGAGTTGCTGTGCATCGACCAACTCAGCTCAACTGTGTGAAGAAGAACCCGAGAGAGACAGAGAGAGAGAGACGAGCGAGGAGAACGAGAGAGGAGGAGGAGGCAGGGAGGATAGAGGCAGTAGGAGGAGGTGAATGAGGAAGGGGACCGGCGCTCTTCACGCATGTGGACCCGCTTCCTCCAGGACAACAAACCGTGCGGCGGGGGTGGCGGCGCGGCTCACGCAGACCTCGGCGCTGCCATGAGCTCGGACGTGCTCGACATGAACACCTTCCTGTCGCCCGGCATGCCCGTGTCCGCCGCCTCGCCCTGGATCGACTTCGCGCACCCGAGCGCCTACAACCCGGCCGCGGGCCTTCACGGAGGGGCCCACGCGCCGGCGTTCATCAAGCAGGAGCCGCCGGGGTGGCCTCCCTCGGCGGCGGCAGCGGCGGCGGCCGCGGCGGCCGCGGCGGCCGCTGCGTCTGCGCAGGAGCAACACGAGGACTGCTTCAGCGCCTTCACGGTGCACTTCACGGGGCAGCTCACGGGCACCAGCGCCTGCCGCTACGGGCAGTTCGGGAACGGATCTTCGGGGCAGCTTCCTGCATCGGTCGCGTCGCAAGTCCCCGCAGCATCGCAATCGGCACCGCCGGCACCGGCGCCTCCTCCTCCACCGCCACCACCGCCACCACCACCACAGCAGCAATCCTGCAATCAGCCGCAGCATCCAGGCCCCATGGTGGCAGCGGCTCAGTCGCTGTCCTCCATGGCTATGGCCCCGTCGAGTCAAGCCAGGGTGTATCCGGGAGGTGGATACCACCTCAACCCCTGCCTGGAGACGTCGAGCAGATCCCAGGGTGAGCACCGCACGGAGTTTGTGGACACCGCTGTCGTCTGTCCGCGCTGTTCGCGGTTGTGGTCTCTCACGGCTCGCCGGCGTGTTGTGTGTTTTTTCTGGCCCTGCTAACTCACGCGTGTTTGTTCGGCGTTATGTCCGACGCATGGCCTTGTATTTAGTCGGATTTGCAGACGCGTGGACATAAAACAAACACGTAAACGTACAAACTCACGGGCAGATGTTTTAATTCACAGACAGACGCATTAACTCACAGATAGGTACTCTGCCCACGAACATGAAATCATTGACAAGGGCGTACATTTTTCGTCCCACGTGCTGGGAGCTTTGTCAGTTGTTTAAATCCCTGAACACGGGAGTAGAACCCATCCATAGGTTGCCAGGAGATTGCAGAAGCGTATTCTTGCATCGATCTGTGCGGAGCATTTCGGCCTTTCTACAACTTGAGGTCAAATGGAATTTGCCAAATATCCCGATGCTAGCCCCTTCTAAAAGAGTATACAGACTCATTAAGACTTTCCTGTATAAATAAAGTGAATTATTATCCATTTGTAAAACAAAAGTATATTTTGTTAATTTTGACTTCACATTAATTGTAGTGTTACAAAGGAATTAAAACATGTCTGGGTAGTTGCATTTTCTTTTTCAGAGTTTTATTTTCGCTGCGCTTATTTAAACTAAAATTTCACTTTAAAAACATACTCGCGATCTCCCCAATGAGCTTTCACCCGGTCATAAATGAATATCTTATGTCCAAATAATTTACTTAAAATATCGATTATATTATCAATTTGGACATCACGTACGTTGATAATCAGCGCGCACATTGCCTCTGTATAACACGGGGAGCATGCGCGTGTTTACGTATACGGGTGGATCATACATTTTAAAAAGTAAACATAATTTCTTCAACATTACTTTCTGCCCGGCCAGTTTCCCACTCGTGTGCGAGGCGTCTACCTTCCTGGTCCCATCTCTCTCTCTCCACTCATTCCTGTCCTGGGCCATCAAATTGCCAGATGCAAGAATAGAAACTTAGAATGTCCATGTCCACTCCACCACAGTCCATCACATCATTGGTCTCACCACTTCAAACCACCTCTTTCTAGACCTTGCCTCTAAGTCTCCATCCTGGCGCTTCAATGTTCACCGTCTTCCTTCTTCCGAAGTATGCATGTATATTTAACTTATTTTGCACCGTACGTAGCCGACCGTGCTAATAGGAGGCACGGGCGAAGGGCAACAAACAACGCACAAAAAGCAGTTCTAAAGAAATGACGTTTAAATCTAGATTTTTAATTTCCTAGCTCCAGTGGCTTCCTAATATCGGAAGGAAGAGCATTCCAGACGGCTGCAGAAGCGCACCTGAAAGCGCGCAGTGCAGTGACCGTCTTTGTTCGATGGCTTGCTTAAAGCTGCTGCGATGATGACCGGATGACCGCAGTTCGCATGATCCATCCCTGTTGCTTCAATGTTTCACCACCTTCCTTCTTCCGATGTGGATTTCCTCTGTTCTTAAGACGTGTTCCCAGCCATCTGAGTCGACCTTCTGAGCGCACACCGCACATGCACTTAATAGGTCTGTGTGTAGAATGAGCCCCAGGGTGTTTGCACGTTTTAAATTCATCGCCGCTTCATTGAACCCGGTGCGCTTAGGGCATCATCTGGCATAAAACTTCGCCGACCAACAAACGGTGCGGGAACTCTCTGTAAACGTCAATGTTTCGTGAAGGCTGGTCGGCTGAAACGTCGAGATCGTACTTTACTCTCAGTGACCGTGAAACTAAAAATAAACTTGATGTTTCGAGTTCAATTTACCGGTTAGTTTATACCAACTGCATTTTGGCGGAAATGTTTCGCAAGCATGGCAGGGGTGGATGATGTTCTGGATACTCGACTGTGCTATGAACCCGGTGGGCTGAGTTCGATTCCCCGCCACGGCTACCGTCTGTGGCGAGTGATATCTGAACAGATTCCAGGGCCCAGGTCATCACCGACCCCCTTCCCCTAGCAGACATTAATTCAGCAGTGGACTGACATATGATTACAATTGTGTATTGTTCTATTATTGTAGTTGTTCATAGCTGTCGTAATGCCAGCTGTACGGTTGAGTGTCGTTCTGATTAAACCTCGTTGGCAGTGTTTATAATCAAGTTTTACGCTTGGCGGGAGCAATGCGTGCTGTGGATTTGATTTAGACCATCACGCGCAGCTGAAGAATGTTACGTATGTACTGTCGGGTGAACGCCACAAGCCCGATCCATGAATGATATCCCACGCGCACACGGCGGGCAATATACGACACGCGCGTATAGCGTGCAGTGCAACACGGAGCTGTTGTTACAATTACGACTTCTGTAACGACGCTTTCGAGAAAAAAAAATAGTTCTCATTTCCTACGGCCATCTTGATCGCCATCAGCCACGATCGATCCATCGCTCGATGTGGGCCTCCCCAAGGCGTCGGATTTCTTCTGCACGTGCGCTTGATCTCATGGGTCCGTCTGATCGTTTTTTTCCGGCTTGGTCCCCGTCCTTGGGCCGCCACTCCCTCGTTAGTCTCGACCATCGGCCATCGTCATCACGTCTCGGCAAGCGTCTTGTCCACGCGCAAACGTTTTGTTTTACTTGCCTTAAACATTCAATAGTACAGATCTCTACGTCGCCTATGGGAGAGAGAGATGCTCTTTGCTTCTTTCGGTAAAGTCTACCTACGTGACTTTACCGAAAGAACCAAAGAGTATGGATTCCAGCAGTCACGAAAGCTTCAAATCAAGAGAGAGAGAGATGTCCGCTGATTTGGTCCCCGGCATTTTTCTGCACTTAACCGAAAAAGAAAAAGAAATAGCAGAGTCTGTTTTGGCCATGATGATTCACTGTCTGCAACTCCGTGGGCAGTCAGAAAGCAGATGCGATGGCTCGGCTAAATTATGGTTTTGGCCACCAACGTGAACTCGCGCGTCTTGTTTGCTCGCGTTGTTCAAAGTCCATAAGCCAAGACCGTTATACGGACGTTACACACGGCATTTTAAACTATACCCAGAGCTCGTACGTTGATAGACGCCTTCCTCGAAGTGGATGTGAGTCGGCAATGGGATGGCGTCGTATACATCTTGTAAATGACGAGACATTTTCGCTTTAAAGCTTTCGTGACTGCAGGGATTCATCTTCTTGGTTCGTTCGGTAAAGTCACGTAGAAGGGAAGTAATAAAATAATAAAAAATAAAACATAATAAAATAATTCTCACGACGTTTCGGCCACAACGCAAGCAGCCATCCTCAGGTGAAGATCAGGTCTGTCGGGGAGACAGCTGTCTTTACCGAAAGAACCAATAAGATGAATGACGAGAAATCAAATCATCATAACAGAATAATATTGCAGGTCGGAAAAGCATACATTTCAAACAACAACATTACAGACACGTGTGCGAAACGCGCGCGGGGTCTGCGCATTTTCGAAAAACCACCAGCAGTTCCTGAATGCAGTAGAGATCGGTATTGATCGACTGCTGGATGAAGGCCCTGCTCCTAACGTTGTGCGGGTCGTGGTGGTTATTAAACCGCAATGGACAGTGCGGGTTTGTGAAAGTGGGGAGCTTAGACGAGTGAGCATAGAAGGACAGTACAACAATGGATCGTTCCTCTAAATATGTGTGATGCATATGTACGCAGGATTTCTAGCGTGTTAACATGATGGAATTGATACATATCGATTAGAGATACGCACTGCAGTATATGTGTATATTGCAGGGCTAAGAGGCGTATATTTTGGGAATCGGTACTTGCACGAGTGGTTAATTGAGTCGATGCGCATGTTTATTGTGGAGCCTGCGTGGCGATCAGCGTCTGTGTGAAGTTACCCCTGAAACTCATGGGTTAAAGTACGGATTTACAGATAGGCATACGAGCCCATAGATGGACGCATGGACTCATGGATAGATAAATAAACGGACGGACGCATGACCTTGTTTTTCGTAGTATTTACAGCCACGTGAACTTAAACAAACACAGAGACGTACAAATATGGACGCGAACTCAGGCAGATGTTTTAAATCGCAGATAGGCGCATTAACCCACAGATAGGTACCCTGCCACGCACATGAACTCGTTGACAAGGGCGTACACTTTTAGACAAGGCGCATCGACGCGCATGAACGTACAAGCACGGGCATTTACAGGAGCATGAACTCGTAAATGATGGCGCGTAAAACTAATAAGACGTGGACAGACGAATGAACTTAAGGGCAGGCGCATTTCACAGACGTGAGAAATCATGAACAAGAGTCTACGCTCACCGGGATAGACGCTTTGACCGAGAATTAGCAGCACGATCTCACCGAGGGCATTGACAGTGCCCGGGGTAGAGTGCGTGGTGAGTCCAGTGAAGCTCTCAGTCAGTGCCTGTGCAACGATTTGCCTTGCACCACGTCGGCCTTTGTCCCTCCAGTTGGCGATGTTTTTTTTCACATCGCACTCATTTGATACTGAGTCGACCTAGAAGAGAGGCCCACAACTCGTTCGGATCATTCGTCACTTGCGTTGGCCGTTAGCGGGAATCGAACTCGGGTCGCCGGGTTTCGTAGCGTAGCGCGCTAACCCCTGCGCGCGCACGCACACGCACACATGCACGCACAACAAAAACGCAATCTGTTTCTAATAAGACACGTCAACCCGCATCGCCGCACCTCAATTCGTCTTTCGTTAATGCTTTCCAGGGGAAAACGCGTTCATATTCCGACGGGGGGAAAGGCGCCCTGTTTGTACAGCGATTTGTCCGGCAAAAAAAAATATATGCGCGAGCCTCGATATAATCCATCAACATCCCACGCGCGTTCGCTGTACGTCTCGTGCCGAAAGCGTTCAACGCTCTCGGCGTGCGCATCGCGTGCAGGCGCGTGTCCGTCATCCGGCCCCTGTGACAGTCCACTGCGTCTGTTTGACAGTGCAGCGAAAGCATCTGTTGAACGGAACAACGATCTTGCCGATGATGGTCGGAATGAGA